GAAGAAGCTTCGCTTGCTTGCCCACCACTTACCTCCTGCTGTGAGACCCGGTTGCTAACAGGCCACAGATGGATACTGGTCCATGGCCCGGGGTTTGGGGGCTGCAGTTTTAGGGTGACCAACTGTCCCAGTTTGCGTGGGACTGAGGGGTTTCCCAGGATGTGGGACTTTCAGTGCTAAAGTCAGGACAGTGCCAGGCAAATTGCACAAGTGGTCAACCCAGGTGTTAAGTAACTTGGCAAAAAAATCAGTTATTAAGTGGCAAAGCCTGTGTTTGAATCCAGGTGGGCTGGCTTCAGACTCAAACTCCGTGCCCTGCCAGCGGTGCTCAAACTTGAGCTTGCACCTGAAGCACCTGGAGGCCTTGTTAAAACTCAGGTCACCCAGCCCCACCTTCAGAGTTTCCCATTCAGGAGGTTTGGGCAGCTGAGAATTTGCGTTTTTAACAAGTTCTCTGGCGACGCTGATGTTGCTGGTCTGGGGACCAACCTGGAGAAGCACTGTGTTATGCTGTCTCACCTGCAGACGAGAATGCTGGAATGGACTTTTCATGTGTGACCTGCTCACTGCCACCCCCACCCATGAATGCTGAGATGGCCCCAAAGATACGTCCTTTGCAGTGGCCTTGATAAGTAAATACATTAGTGAGGGAAGTGCTGGCCAACTCTGAGCTGTGGCACCAGGAACGCTGATGGAAGAGGCTGCATCTGAAATGAGAATCTGGTCACACAGTTATGAACTGGCAGAGCCTGTCTAGTTGCCACAGCAGAGGTGAGGTTGCCACAGAGGTGGCTCCCATGTCACTGCTGTCGGGAGTATATTCTGCAGTTCCCAGGCCCGGCAGCAGTAGCTCGGGAATCTATACAAACTGGCTTTGCAGCAGAATTTGGGGCACTATTTCTGGCCACAAAGGCCCCAGCCTGGTTCTCTGACTCTTCCCAAAATCCTGTGTCCAACCATTGTCCCTGTTATAAAAAAATTGAGGTTAGGCTGTTCGTTTCTCCGTCAGCCAGGAAGGACGCGTTGAGGTTGGCATACCCATCAAGGACAGTAACTACCATGGCTTCCGGCTCTTTGCCGAAACCTCAGATGCGTGGCCTCCTGGCCAGGCGTCTGTGGATTCATATTGTTGGAGCATTCATCGTATCCCTGGGGGTTGCAGCTTTGTATAAGTTTGGTGTGGCTGAACCAAGAAAGAAGGCATATGCAGATTTCTACAGAAATTATGATTCTATGAAAGATTTTGAGGAGATGAGGAAGGCTGGCATCTTTCAGAGTGTAAAGTGATTTTGGAACATAAAAGAATTTCTTTGGGTTGATTTACACAGAAGTTTCCACTGACACCTGTGTTCCTGAGCTATGAATATGTGGGCTGAAGAATAGTTTCTCTTGATAAATAAACTATTAACAAATACAAAAAAAAAAATTGAGGTTAAATCCACACAATATAAACCAATTTCGTGGCATTTAGTGAATTCACAATGTTGTGCAACCCTCACTTCTATCTAGTTCCAAAACATTTTATTTTTTTATAAGTTATCTTATTTTCATTTTTTGATACAGAGTCTTGCTCTGTTGCTCAGGCTAGAGTACTATGGTGTCAGCCTAGCTCACAGCAACCTCCAACTCCTGGGCTCAAGTGATCCTCCTGCCTCCGCCTCCCGAGTAGCAGGGACTACAGGTGCGTGCGACCATGCCTGGCTGTCCTGCCAACTCTTTTTTTTTTTTTTTTTTGAGACAGAGTCTCACTCTTTTGCCCTGGCTAGAGTGAGTGCCGTGGCGTCATCCTAGCTCACAGCAACCTCACACTCCTGGGCTCAAGCAATCCGTCTGCCTCAGCCTCCGGAATAGCTAGGACTACAGGCATGCGCCACCATGCCCGGCTAATTTTTTCTATATATTTTTAGTTGTCCGATTAATTTCTTTCTATTTTTAGTAGAGACAGGGTCTCGCTCTTGCTCAGGCTGGTTTCGAACTCCTGAGCTCAAACAATTCGCCCGCCTCGGCCTCCCAGAGTGCTAGGATTACAGGCGTGAGCCATTGCGGCTGGCCTGTCCTGCCAACTCTTAACTCTTGGCCGAGACCACAGGCAGGCAATGCCCAATAGATGCCTTGTTCTTTAGGCAGCCTAGGCTATGAGACCGGAATCCTCTACATGCATCGTCCCAAGAGAGCGGAAGGCACTTCCCAAGCACACCACAAGGCAATCCCTTCAAGTGCATAATGAAAATATTAAGAAACTTACATTCATCTTTATCTTTACCTTTTAAAGTTTTTATCTGTGTCTCTTTCATAATGTACATAATATTTTAGTATGACAGTACATGGAGATAATTCGTTATTAAGTATGTATAAACATATTGAAAGCACGTGCTCGACTTTTTACAGCTAGAGGTTTGCAACCAAAGCATTTGGAAAGCCTACAAAGCACCATGTTTGGGACCAAGAGCAAGCTTTGCCTTCTAGAACCTCGGTTCGGAACACTAGCTAGAGCCATAGGCACACCACGGGGGGTCCCCTGCCCAGTGCTGAGGAAAACCTCAGGAGAAGGCCTCCTTTCTCCTCGGAAGCCCAGATGGCTTGTTCCTCTTTCTCCCTCTTGACACTGGCTGGTTCCCACTCAGTCCCAGCCACACTCAGCAGGCCCTGCCTCTCTGTCCCCTGGGGAAGCTAAACACAGGCGGGGGCTTTCAAAGAACCAGATGGGACGCTCACCGGCCCCACTCATCCCCCTCCATACCTTCACAGACTTTGCTGAAGACACACACCTGGCTTGGAAGCGTTTGCCCTATCAAGGAAAAATAAGTTCCCCAGAAAAAACTCCACAGAGACAGAAATATTTCAGTCATGCCTTGAAGGTTTTCCAGAACACACTCCAGGGACCCACTGCGAGGTACAGAATCTTTCTGTGTCACAAATAGTGATTCCTTTGTCAACACCTTTGATTTCGTAGTCTGTACCGGCTCTCGGGGGTGCTGGGCATACGGACATACCAGGCCAGGCTGAATGAAAGACTAAAGGGAGGACGCTAGGGCTGCCCGGGACACCAGGGCTCGGTGGCACAGCGGCAAGGAACTGCGACAGGGGGGAGACGTGAGCCAACAGCGGGACAGCGCGCTCCAGGGAGGCACAAATGTTCCCAAACCCTGCCAGCCTCCCCACGCGCCCCATCACTCCTCAGGGAGCCAAAGCCAGGCGGGCCATGGAGGTGACGGGACCGGCAGCCCTGCCTTTCCCTGCGTGTGGCCCGCGGACTCCCTCCGGAGCCGAAGTCGGGTCTCTCCGCACCCGGTGTCTACACCTGCGGACGCGGGAGGTGACTCCGCCCCCAGGGACACCTGCGCACCCCCCTCCTCATGACGGCGCGGCCGGTTGTCCGCTAGGCGTGGGGGGGTCTGGGGTCGGCCGCCCCACCTGTGCTGCCCGCTCCTCCCCGGCCCCGGCGGGCGCGCGCAGAGCGTACTCACGACTCCGACACTCGTCCCGGCTGCCGAGCCGCCTCACCGCCACCCGCAGGGGGCCTAGCGGGGACCGGGCCAGCTCCCCGGTGGGCGCGGGCAGCCTGCAGAAGGGCTTCGGCCGGTGACTGCCGCACGGCGGGAGGCGGGGGCGGGCTGCGCGTGCGCGGCCTGGCTCCCACGGGGCGCGTGCACCCGACGCGGCCCTGGTGGTGGGAGCCGCTTGGACGCAGGGCGACATCTCCCAGCGCGTGTGGCTGCGGCTCCTGCAGAGGGATCACGTCCCCTGTCCCGCGTCCTGGAGGAGTTGCGGCCGGATGCCTGCCTACAGCTTACATACGGGACCAAGGCGGGAGAGCAGGGCGCCCCCACCCGCGGCGGCGGGGGGCGGGGGCGGTGAGTGAGCGAACCAGCCCAGAAGCCTGAGGCCGGGTCCTCGCAAGCGACCTTGAGCAAATGCCTGAAGCAGGGTCCTGTGGCTCAGCCCTGCCACAAGTGTCTGGCTCCCTCCTTTGGGGGTGGTGGAGATAGTAGGAGGCATCTGTGTGGACACCCCGCGTGTGCCCGCACTCTAAGCCGGGGCCCAAAGAGCTGTAGGCCCCTGATTGAACAGGCTGAACCAGCAAAAGAAAATGGAAAGATTAAATGATAGCCAGACTGACTGGGTGTGATTCCCAGCTGTGTGATCTTGGGCAAGTTACTCAACCTCTCGGTGCCTCCACTGCTTCAACGGTAAAATGGGGGTAGTATTCCCTTGTCAGTGAGGAAGTGGGAGGGGTTCAGTGAGTTAACAGATGTCACATGTTTATTACGTGTCTAACACATGTAAGTTCAGCCATGATGTTTGAGGATGGGCAAGGGAGTGGGACTGCGGTTTCTGACTATGCCACCAGTCCTGATATGTCAGAGTACCCCACCAGTGGAGACGAGACACACACGCCACTTCCCAGACGTTCAGAGCAGTTTCTACACTGCCTACCTAGGGCCCAGCCATGGCAACTGATGGAAAAAAGACCCCTCAGTGAGGCAGAGAGTCTGGTCTTCCACCTTACTGGGGAGCCTAAAAACGTCCAGAGGGTGGCCTGGATCATGAGGGTGCCCAGGAAAGGAACTGGGTGGGTAAGGGCAACCGCAGTGAAGCCTCAGGTCCCCTCTGGTCTTCCCAGGACTATCCTAAGTCACCTAAATTCCCCTTCAAAACAAGCATTCCATTCGCAAGTCCAGCTGATTCATAACTTAGTTTACTCCATTGTGGGCTACATCTGGCCAGGAAGGGGGAGAGCAGTCTCTTCTGACCGCTGGCCCTGGCTTCTGCTTCGGCCCCTAATTGAAGCCCATCTTCCCATCAAAAGCAGGCTAAGGGGCTCCAGGCTCTTCTAGCACTCCCTCTCCCTCCCTCACTGGCCTCCCTGCCACCCTCTGCCCAACTTCCTGCATCGCGCAGGTCTGAGACCTCTTCAGACACTGGGCACGAAGTCCTCGCCTGGCCCTTGTTCCAGACAGGTGGGCAGATGGGCAAGCAGAGCAGGTGCTCCCAGGGGCTGGCAGGGGAGCTTCCTGGCCAGGCCTCAGGGCCCTGGGTCCCACCGGGAAATGTGCTCCTGAGCTGGAAAGGAAGCAGCAGGGATTGGGCGTTGGTGGCAGCCCAGGCAGTCGTGGGATGGGAACCTGGCTGCACTCGGTCTGGAAGTTCCCATGGCCATGGTCCCACGTGGAACTCTAGACCCTTCTAGCAGGGGCTACTGGGAGCTGGTGCTGGGCCGGATCCACCTCTGCCCTCCAGCATGGTTCACTGGGCTCCAAGTCATCAGGGAACACAGAGAACACAACAAGGACCCAGATAGCAGCTTTCATGGTAAGAGGAGAGGGTCATTAGAGAAACCCCCGCCAGGCTGCAGTTCCGGTCCTGCCTCTGTGTGGCCATGCTGCGTGATGCTGGGCCTGTTGTTTCTGCCTCGGCCGCAGGGACTCACAGCTACAAGGCCCCCAGCAGAGCATCCTCAGTGGCCTGTGTGCTCAGACACACTCCAGACCTGTGAACTAGATATCCTAGCACCCCGCAACGGGCTAGCAGTACCCCAGGGGACAGGGATCAGAGAAGGGAGTCACAGGGAGTCGTGGGAAGGCCCTCACCAAACTGGCAGATGTAACGGTTCCGGGTTTTACAGCGTTGGTCATTCCAGTTGAAGGCAGCCGATGCCTGCAGCTCCACGCAGTTGCCAAACCTGCTTGGCCAGGATGTCAGGTACACAGCGTGGAGGCATGACATCAGGAGTGGGGAGAGACTTAAACCCTCCACCCCATCCACCTGCAGCTGGGGCCACTGGGAGCCAGACCCGCTCTGAGGCCCCATCCCTGCCCCGGAGCGCTGCCTGGGTAACAGTCCCACCCACCCCCCTGCACACTCTGCCATGGCAGCCAGTGGAGGCACTGGGCACCTGGAACAGGCCCGTGTCCTTCCCTCCCAGCAAGCAGAAGGAGTGCCTGGGAGCCAACCAGGCCTGGACTTCCTCCAGACGCTGGGTGAGGAGGGCCAGGTGAGAGAGCTGGAGCCTCGGCAGCCACACAGCCTGACCACCTCCACCCCTGCCCTGGGCATTCCTGGGCTTTGAAGACCACATGACCAGAAGGTCCTCTCGGTACAGGGTGGCCAGTGGCTGTGTACAGAAAGGACGCATGTGGGTGGACAGCTACAGAACGCCAGAGCCAGGGGACTAATGCAGGCAGAGCTGGGGGACGGAGGGATGGTGGAGGGTGAAGGGACGATACATGGAGGCTGGAGACACATTGGGGCACAGTGGGGACAGGTAGATAGATGGAGTCTTCTTGGGGACCCTGTCTTTAGGTGACAGGCCTTCTGATTTACATCTCCCTCACCTCAGCACTGTGCCCACCCCAGCTGTGCCCAGACTTCCCTGGCCATGGGCACCAGGCAAGGCCCAGGCCTCAGAGGGCCCAGCCAGGCAGCGGGCTGGGGATGCTCTTCAGTGGAGCCTGAAGCCTGGGGGGAGGGCGCCCCACACTCACCCCTGGTTGTCAGGCTGCCCGAAGGCAAAACTCGTGAAGGCCTGGTGCTCCCCCGTGGTCCAGCGGAAGGAGTCCTTGGCGGTCTTGTAGGTGAGCCCTGGGCCGAGGGAGCTGAGGTTACCCCCACCTGAGACCCCTGGGCCCCTTCCGGCCCCTGCTCCAAGCGCTGCCAGCCCCCTGCTGGGTCTTGCCCCTTGGCCCTCTCCCGGGGGAAGGGGTGGGCAGCCCAGCTGCTGGCCCCAGCCTGGGTGCCAAGCCCTTGCCACACCCTTGCAATCTGCTGTCCCTGCTCTGGGCTGCCATGACCCAGGATTCCTGGAGCAACAAGAAGCATCAAGACCCCGCACTGGCCGCGGCCCCAACCAGCCAGGCACTCACCAATCCAGAAGTTCCTGGTCTCGAAGTCGCTGTCGGTCACCTCATTGGTGGTCTCCAGGCGGCCCAGGTAGAAGGCGAGGATGTCCTGCACTTTCTGGCTCTCGATCTGGGCCAGCACCCCGCCTTTTCTCTGTAACCCCCGCCCTGGTCACACCAGACTGGCAGGGCCCCCAGAGCTCGTGCCGGCCTCTCCTGCCCTTCCTGCCACCCCGCATGACTATGGACGCCAAATGTGTGCGCTGGCAGGGCTGTTGTCACCCCTGGCCCTGACAGCCTCCTGCCTCTAAGAATAGGGGTCCCCCTTCCGCTCTCCCCCTGCCTGCTTCTCCTCTCTCCGAGCACAGGAGCCCAACTGGCAGCCTGGAGACCCCAGCAGGGTCCTGCCCCCGGAAAGGTTTTGTTTCCCCTGCACAGTGTCTTACACGCATTCAAACTGACTGCCAGCATTAATACACTGAGATGCCAACGAAAATCTGGATCTCTGGTTCTCTTGAAAAACCCCAAGTTCTGGCCACGCTGAACTCAAATTCCTGCGTGGTGACCTGCAGCTGAAGCCCAGTCAGGTCAGCTCCCTTGGGTAGAGGTTGGGTGGCACCTAGTCTCTGGGTCCCTCAGGTCATTAAGTGACCTCCCAGCTTCCATGAGCCTTTGAGTCTGGGCCCCCTGCCTTATGCTAATGAAGGGTGTAAGGTCAGAGAAGTCGAAGGCACCAGCTGTCAGTCTAGGGTCCCTCCATTAAGTCCCTCACTTGAGACCCTGGGGGTTCCAGGGAAGGCAGGGGACAGCCATCACCTGGCATTTCAGCTTGGCTCTGTAGTAGGTGTCCGCCTCTGAAGACACCATGAAGCAGTCTCCATCGATCCTCAGGTCGCAGGTGTGGAAGGGAAAGTGCGCCTTGGCTGGGTCGGGGGTGCTGAGTCAGTGTGTGTGGACCTCAGAATCGTCACCCTCTCCCGCCCTGCCAGGGAGCTGCAGCCAAAGCGTCCCTTCCTCCGGCTACCTGCTCCAAACTGGAGAGTGAGTGGGGGCAGTGGTGTGCTGGTAAATGTGTAACAAGGAACTCTCTCGCACGCCCCCCTCAAAAAAAAAACACAGTTCGTACGTAGTATTTGCCAATTTCGGTGGTGTAATTCCCCACACTGTGGCCGATTCTGAGCTACGGATGTGACGTCACTGACTGACGGGTTGGGAGGAGACGCACAGTGTGGGCTCCTGGGAGCTGACACCCCCCAAAGGAGGCCGGGGCAGTACTCACTGGCACACTGGGCTCCCCCGTAGCCCACGTCGCAGACACAGGAGCACTCCTCCTCCCGGAACCGGCCGTGCACGCACTGCACGCTGCACCGCACTGCCAGGGCAGGGCAGGAGGGCAGAGCGCTCAGCCCCCAGCCACCTGGACACCATGCTTCCCCACACAGGCCTCGAACATTCACAAATGCCAACCACAGCAAGAATACCCCTCACAGAGATAGAACCCATCGGGGCTTCCAACTGCTGCCACGCATGGTGTCTTTGGTTTGATCCCCGTTGTAGAAAGAGGCAAACTGGGATTTGGGAGGTGACCTGCCCCCAGTCACAGAGCAGGGTGGGGTGGGGGCAGTGGGATAAGAATTCACTTCTGGTTCCTAACTCTATTCTCCTCCCACCATCCCAGAGCCCAAGGGGCCAAATCTGATTCTACTTTGAATCCCCTACACAGCTCCAGGGTCTGGCAGACAGTCGGTGCTCCATAAATGCAGTGTGCACACTCAGCACATACATGGTTAGCACCCCCAACACATGCGAGACTCCCTCAAAGCACTCTCGGTAAGTGTTAACAGCCCCGGGACACGCCACACAGGCAGACGTGTGCACACTCGGTCTCGGCCTCCCTCCTCGCCCCTAGGGGGCTGCCTGCCGGTGCACTGGGTCCCCTTGGCAGTCGCGATCTGGAACTCCAGTGCCTCTCACCTTGGCAGTATCTGCCCGTGTAGCCAGGGAGACAGTGGCAGTGGCAGGTGCTGATGTTTAGATATCCGTGGTTCCGGCAGCTGATGCGACATGGGTTCCTGGGGACCTCTGGCCAGATGAGGGGGGAGCCTCCCTGGGTGCTGAGGGCCAGGGCTTCCCAGACAGCCCCTCAGGAAGCTGCCACCCACCCCAGGATCACCAGGCCAAGCCCTCGTGTGCCTGCTGCCCCAGGAGGGGGCAGGTGGGGGGGACACTCACCACAGAGCCCCCCTGCGTGGTCCCAGGCTTTGAAGCAGCCCGAGACGCTGGCTGTGCAGAGTGAACACCAGGCTCCCTTCTTATAGGGGACGATTGTCTTCCCGTTGACCTCCCAGTTGCCTCTGTGAGAGCAAGTGCCAAGGGTCTGCAAGGGCCTTGCTGCCTGCCCCAAGGGCCCCTCAGCTCCTCTGGCTCCGCTGGGAGTCAGGGAGCCGGATAAGATGGGGAGATTCCCTAGGAAACAGAAGATGACCTCCAAACTAGTCCTGGGCAAATTCCCTGAAACTAGGGTCATGCTTCTGGGAAGGCACATCTGCATGGCCAGAATCTTCACCCTTTCCCTTTCTGCTTCTTCCCCCTCCCGCCAATGGGTAAAGGCCGCCAGGCGCGTGGGTGGGCATGTCACTGTGGGTGAAAGCATCCTTCCCTGCCTCCCAGACAACCCAGCAGGAGTGGCAGGGCAGCTGCCGTCATGGGGGCTTACCCAGGGGAGTAGGCACAGACAAAAGCTTCCATGGCTGCCTGGCCCACAGAGCACAGATGCCGCCCACAGCCCAGCTGGCTCGAAGTGGCCCACACGAGCTGCAGGAGACACAGTGGCTCAGAAATCCTATCGTGGACTAGCCCTGGGGAGGGGGACATAGCTTTTGCCACAATCCAGGCAGACAGACAGCTCCCTCACCTCCTTGGGGGCCTCAGGAGCAGCAGCTGTCCTGGGCAGGGCTATAGAATGGGTGGGAACAGCCTAGGAAGGCTTTCTCAGTGGAGGGGGCAGGGCCAGCTGACCTGAAGGGAGTGGAGATTGTGGATGGGTGGAGAGAGACTTGGCCATCAAGGGCCTTGTGATTGCAAAATGACCACAATCCTTCTTGCTACGTGACTTTGCAGCTCTTTGCAGTAAGAGGAGGTGTCTCTTTCCCCACCCCTTGAATGTGGCTGGCCTTGTGACTTATGTTGTCCAATAGATTGCAGCAGAAATGATACTGGACTGATTTTGAATCTGGTCTCACGAGATCTTACAACTTCCACTCAGTCTCATAGAACCATGCTCAGCCACCACACGAACAAGTTCAGGATAGCCTGCTGGAGGCTGAAAGACTCACAGGGCAAGATGAGCTACTTGGGGCCATTCTACACAGCCAGTTCCCAGCCAACCCACTAGCTGACCGCAGTTGCATGAGTGGGCCCAGCCAGGACCAGAGAACCTCCCAGCAGAGCTCAACCCAAGTGGTTGACCTGCAGAATCGAAAGCTGCTAAATTTTGGGGTGGTGTGTCATGCAGCAAAAGCTGATGGATACAGATCTTTAAACTTA